ACTGGTTAGTCCTAGAGATCAATCCTGACTGCTCTTTAGAAGGCCAGATCCTGAAGATGAAACTGAATTACATGGGGCTATCCTTGAAAAGTGTTCGGAGACTGCAACTAGTCCAGAATGCAGCCGCGCGAGCGATATTGGGTGTACTGAGGTACACCCACGTTACACCTATCCTCCATGAGCTATTGGTCTCCGGACGCAATTCAAGGTGTTGGTTATTACCTTTAAAGCCCTACAATGGCTTAGGGCCAGCGTACCTGCGAGACTGCCTACTGCCACATACCTCCCAGTGGCTTGTGAGATACCACCGAATGGGCCTCCTTCAGATGCCGTCAGCCGGACAATGTTGGCTGGCGGCTGCCCAGAGGAGAGCCTTCTCTGTGGCTGCTCCAACCCTTTGGAATGAGCTACCCCCGAGATCCGGACCTTACCCACTCTCATGGCCTTCAGAAAAGCTGTTAAAACCTGGCTATTCCGGCAGGCCTGGGGCTGTTGACCTCACTGTTGAGGCCCAGCCCCGATCAGAACGAATGTATGTGTGGTGATTTTAAATCTGTCTTTTTTATTTTTTCATTATTTCTTTTTTTTCTCTCTTTTTTGTAAGCTGCCCGGAGTCCCTTGGGATTGGGTGGCCTATAAATCTTATTAATAAATAAATAAATAAATAAATTTCCCACGTATTTTACCAGGTGACATCAATAAGGCAGAGTCAAAAAGCCAGCGCCCTCCCAAGCATAGCCATGTGCTACAAATCCACTGGCGATGTCCATTTTGCTCTCCAAATTCATGGAAACATAACCCTAACCCTAGCCCTAATTGGTTTGCTCCCCAATTGGATTTTCCCATGTATTTTGCCAGGGAACATAGATAGGGCTGGCTCAAAGAGTCAGCACCCTCCTAACCATACCAATGCGCTCTGAATCCATTGGCATTGTCCATTTTTCTCTCCAAATTCATGAAGAGATAACCTAACCCTAAATGGATTTGGCCCTCAATGGGGTTTTCCCATGTATTTCCATTGAACTTTCTTTAGCACCAATTTAGTGCTGACTATCAGATATTAGATTCTTCTGCATAGGCATAAGCAATGTATCACTTTAACTGGAACTTAATGGACATAAACCTAGTTAATGGCTGTTCTGAAGTGGCACAAGCAAAAAAAAAATTTGCAAAAAAACAACCCCACAGCCCCCAGATCAAAATTTCCTTCCCAACTGACTTCCGACAAGCAAAGTCAACGGGGCAAGCTTAACAATTGTGTGGTTTTTTTATCACTTGTGGTGGACGTATCTTAATGCAGAAAATTCTTAAAGGGAACATAAAAAGAACAGCAGAGACTTTTGTTTTGTGTTTAATGGGACAAGATTGGGGGAAAAAATTCGGAACTGTGATGTTATATAGGTTGATGGCAGCAAGATGACTCTACGCACAGAAATGGAAGGTCAACTCAATCCCCATAATGGATGAATCGTTGCAAAAATGGATGGAGTTAGCAGAGATGGCTAAATGGACTACTTTGATCAAAGAAAAAAGTACAACTACTTTCATTTCTACTTGGAAACCACTTCTGGACTTTGTGCTTGAGGTGGGGGGAAAAATGAAACTTTGATTTTGGGTTTTACCGATTAGATCGATCTGTTGTTATAAGAATGAGCCAAGGTGGCGCAGTGGGTAGAGTGTAGTACTGCAGGCCACTTCAGCTGACTGCTATCTGCAGTTCAGTGGTTCAAATCTCACCGGCTCAAGGTTGACTCAGCCTTCCATCCTTCCAAGGTGGGTGAAATGAGGACCCAGACTGTGGGGGCGATATGCTGACTCTGTAAACCGCTTAGAGAGGGCTGAAAGCTCTATGAAGCAGTATATAAGTCTAACTGCTATTGCTATTGCTATCTGTGTGAACAGAGATATTGGTTTTGTCATTCATAAGTATAAATTTGTGTTCCTTCACTTATTCTTTTTTTAAATTATTTTCACTTGTTCTTACATGTGCACATTTTGGGGTGACTGAAGCTGCATTTGGATCTGTAGAATGATTTGGAAGCCAGAAGGAATGTGGGCATGGTGAAATAAAAAAGGGGGGGGATATGCCTAGACTAAAACCCATAGTCTTTTTAAAAGTGCATTTTTAAAATTGCCAGGAAAGATTGGTTTCTTCTTACATTTTATCCAAATATAAAAGATTTACCAAAATTTGAGGAAGGGACCTAGCAAAGTGCAGAAATTGGACTACTCAAGGCCCCTGAGCCAAAAATTGGCCTCCAGTGACATAAGTGAAATACTACTGAATGTGAATTATTTTCTTTCCATAGGCTTTGGCTTTAGCCATCAAGGAGGCAAAATTGCAGCATCCTGATATGCTGGTAACCAAAGCTGTAGTATATAGAGAAACAGACCCATCTCCAGAAGAAAAGGACAAGAAGCCTCAGGTGGGTATAAATATGGAGAAAGTGTGGAGAAATATGATCTCGACAAGCCAAGTAAAATAGTAAATGATATACGAAGATTGTAGCTTTCAAAGCAAGCATCCTTCTAGTGAGACAACACCGAGCTCTCTCAAAAATGGCTATTTAAACAAAACTATGTGGCTGATGCTATTTGTATTGAAGAATTATCTTGATTGTAGTAAGGTAAATTTGTGAACTGTGCCATGCAGTATCTTTATTCAGATTCATAACTAAGGATAAGTTAATTGAAAAGAATGAGAATTGGCTAAGAATCTTGCCATTTTGAACGCTTACCAGACGTTTTTGCTTGGAAAGTCTGGTCCTAATGGATTAACATCCTCCTATAGAGGATGTTTTCCATGGGCTTCATACAGTAAAGCGAGTGAATGGTGCTCTGTACTAATAAGGGACATCCCAAAATAGACCCCAGGATGCCCTATAATATGCAAAAACTTCATACCTGATACAATATAGTCTTGTTAAAATAGCTAAAGCTGTTAAATTGCAAAAGTCAAAACAAGCTTGCAGTATTATATTGATAAAGGATTGACATTGTATGTATTGATTTATGTTCTTATTTTCCTTATCCTTGTATAGGAATCTTGACCTTTGTATTTCTAGAAGTTGGCATCTATTTTAACTTTGAAGTAAAGAAGGGGCCTTTATGCTGGATTCCTCACTGAGACATAGAACGTCCTGGCTGCAAGAATAATGTTGAGAGACAAAATATTAAATAAAAAGGAATAGCAAATATATTATATATTATATATACAGGAAACAAAATGCATCCTTGCACTGCTGCTATATGCTGGAGATGAATAAAACAGCAACATCAGCAACAAGCAAAACCAACCACCTCTTCAAATAAATTGAAGAATTGACTGATCTAAAAAAATCATGATGGTAATAATATTAATAATACAATAAACCACCATTGTGCATGTTACATTTAAAGAACACATAATTCATTTGTTGCACACTGAATGGAAAAGCAAAAATGCTTTGCAACAAAGCAAGAAATCAACTAGCAAAACAAGCAGAATTACAAAATGATTCCCTGATAGGAAAGAATTAAAATCCATTCACTTGTATAATTTGTTTATTATTTTCTAATTTGGGATGTGCAGTGATCATCCTTTATTTTCACGCCACGCTACTTTTGTTGCTTCACCATTGGATTTTTATTTTCCCCAATTGGTCCTTCCTTTTTTAAATGTTTCCTCTTCTCATCTAATGTCTTATTCTGCTGAAGATAATTATGACTTTATTTCACTTAAAGCAAAGGAAAATGATATGTATATGATTTCTCACTGAACAAAATGCAGCCTGTAGAGATTTCATATTGATGTGCTTTTAAGTTATGGATATTATATATAACTGGGGAGGGTGGGGAATGATATTAAAACAAACAGTGCTAAGTGTGACAATGACATTTTCACATTATTATTATTTGATTGATAATGGTTAATGTATTACAAGACTTTCAGATTATGCCAGTATCCCATGAAACTAAGAATAGGGGAAAAAAGAGGAATTCTGAGGAAGTTGTCTCACTTGAATTTGGTGACACAATCGTGATTGTCACTGATTAAGACACATACAACAGTATGGAAGGAGTCAAAGGCAACAAAACGGATCAGTGTTACTCCAGCTCAGTTAGAATGCCTCAAATGTGCCAATTAACAGTGTCTCTTCATCCTGCAGGCTTAGGAGGAGCACAAGGTCATCACACAGAATGAGATCAAATTGCTTCATTGTTCAAGGCCTTTATTTAGCTGTCTTTCAGAGCAAAGTGTTTATTTAGGGCAAAGTTATTATTGTATATGCCATGACGGTTTTTCAAAATTTGAAAGTTTGGTTCCAAATCTATCGATTACGTGGCTCCAGTTTCTGATTCATGAATGTGAGAATCTGCCAGAGGCTGCCCTGTTCTACTCACGTGTGGTTTCATTTTGTCAGATTGAGACTTTGGAGACCATATCTATCAGGGAGAAAGAACACCCCTGCCTTCTTTAAATATGGGATTCTATATCAGAACAGGATTTATTCATGGGTTTCTTGAAGATACATTCATCTGTCACAGTAAGCTGTGAAGCTTAGAGAACCAAACTACTAACAGCAAATACTGCTCCGGAGTAAGGATACTATTAAATAAAACTGCTCTGCCATTAATGAAACCTAGACATTGTCCTTTACCACTTTTCATTACCTCAAGAGTAATTAAAGCAGAAAGAAATGAGACAAATTTAAATGAAACAGTTTATACTTTTCCTTCTACATATTGTGAATTGGATAATGACATCTCATCTCTAATTGGAAATATAAATAAAAATGGGAAATGGTAATAATCATTGGAGTAATGTGGATGTATCTTATATCATAAATTGTTTGCCATTATAGGAGACACTGGGCCATTGGCTGTTATTATGGCTCCTTAAAATTGGATCTGTTTTTGGCATGTAGGAGTGTCCTAATTAAACACTGAAAGCATAGATATAAACTTTATGCTGTAAGAGTCATTTCTAATTTTCATGTATCCAAGTGATTTTCTCCTTTAGATTTTTTTGAGGATTTTTTGTTTCCTTTTATTCTTCTGGAATATGTGATGCCATAAAACCAAAACATCAAAAAATGTAGAAACCCATAAAATATGTAGAAAACAAAAATCTTGTTCTGCTGATTTCAAAAACTGAAGAAAAATCTTGGTGGCATTATGTTTTTTCCCCTCAATGTTACAAAAAAAGTATTCTCCCCCTCCTCCCCTAAACTTAATTTCATTTTTAATTTCAAAACAAAGTTCAGAAATTAGGTATATATAAAGTACATTCTATTGCTCCTTCTATATGAATTGATATACATGAATCTGCCACTAAAACCTCTGGAAACAAATTGCTTCAAAACCCATTTATATAAAGACCAGAATCTAACTCTTGTCAAATACAGGAAAGGAAAGCTAAAATAGATTTGGATTCTTCCCACGGCATGACTGATGGGTAGCCATTAACAAAAACTAGTTTTTTGTTTACCTAGCAAGATGTGGCTTATATATAGATATCTATATTAATATATATATATAATATTTATTATTTGTGGTAAAGTGGAAGCCATGCATACTCTTAAGATCATGGTTTCTTCCACCTTCTGCTGCCATCTGATATAGTTGGTCACTCTGCTTTCTTTGGGTGAGGGGGTCTTTCCATTGAAAGGGACGGTTGATGCAACTGCTTGTTTGCAACAAATTCCCGCAACTTGATTCTAAAACTGGCCTGCAACTGCATGAATTAAAAAGATTCATAATTATTTTTTAATTTGAAAAGCACCTTAACCAACTGAAATGCTGTCATTCCTTCATTAATTCTTCTGTCCTTCTGACCCCTCCACCCATTTCAATTTTTGTCCCATCCTTTTCGGTCATATCCTCTTTCAGTGCTTGGTGATGTATGCGTGTGTGCTCACTGTTCTTGTATTCAATAAAAGTGAAATAAATGTATCTGATGCTCACTCATTTTGTGGCTCATGGTGGCTTTTCTCTTAGGAAAAAGAGAAATGAGACCCTTTACACTGGGCCTGTCAGAATTTCAAATTTTCTTTGAGCAATTGGTTGTAAGTCAAGTACTACACATAGATGATGATGATGATGAAGTGTTGGATTATTGTGAGGCTGGGCCACAACAGGTATACAATTGAAGATACCTCACCCCACCCACCCCACCCCATTGACTTTTATTAGCTCTTCTAGTACTGTGAGAACAGGAGAAATTCTTAGTCATGGGATTCCTTCTTTAGGGCCAATGCCACTCCATTGATAGTTAACACCAGAGATGCCAAGGAGCCTTGATTAATAAACAGCTGTTTGGTTTTGTTTGTGTTCAATCCCTTTCATCTCATCCAAATACAAGCTCCAGATAAAGGATCAAAGATTGCTAATACAATACAAACCAACAAATTACCTACTCCAACAGTTTCATATCAATATTAAACAGCAGGAGAAATGGACTGGAATTAGAGGAATCCCGTAACAGCCCATAACTGAACAATCATTGGCTAATGAACACCATGACCATTGAGTGGCCCAACATGACCAGGATGGAAACTACCCTATGCCAAGGTGTAATAAAAAATAATTTACAATAGCAACCAATGCCATCTCCATTCCATGTTCAGATAAGTATCTTGAATGAATAATGTTTCTTCTATGATGCATTGCCATTATAAGGAAAGAAAAAAAGGATAATAGTGGTCAAATCGAGATAGATTCAGAGAGAGCATCTTTAAGATGTGGGGCATCATAGTCTCTTTCAAAGTTGCTGGTGTTACCCCTTTCAAAGTGAGGTGTCAGTTACCAGATCCAATCTCTCTCACTCCTGGCTGAGGAGAGGAGCAGAAAACAAATCCTAGTGCACTTCATCAAAGTCCATCAACTGAAAGAATGTTTGTTTGCAGAGACTCACCTTGAGGGAGATGGGAGATCTAGAAACATGAATATAAATATAAAAATAATGGCTTCTGTGTCAACTACAGTAAGTCAAGAGTTCTGTATCTTCTCCCTAAAAGAAGCTGACTACTTTAAACAGGGTTGCTCTATAGTCGATGTAATAAGGGAAGATAAGTAACATTTCATTCCCTTCTAACCAAAATTTAAGTTTTAAGCTTGAATTCACACCAATCTTGGATAAAATTCACTTTTTATAGTTTTTTTCAGTGCATGCCAGGCATACCTTCTGCTATTTCATCTTGATGTTCTTGATAAACCAAGGAACCAACCAAAATTGGCCGATTAGGAGCGGCAGCTTGGAAGCAAGCACACTGATCTTCTGTTGACAGTAGGTGACCAGGAATTCAACAAAACTGCCCCAAAGGTCTTTGGGGCAAGCTCATTATTACCACAGAGACCATAAACTCCAAGATTTGTAAAACCGCTCCTGACAGCCTGGAAATTGAAATCACCCAGAGCCAAATTATGAGAGAACTCTTAATATCAGCCTCTAGACCAAATCGAAGTTCAGGAAGGAACTGTTTTGGACATCGGGATAGCCATTACAGTAGAGTATCCAGCTTGTCCCTACTGTCCAACGTGAAGTATTTCAATTCACATTCCAGCAGAGTCTCCAAGAATAGAAGGGGCTGCTTTAAAGATTACCCTTCCTCTGATCAGGGTGTAGAGACTCCTGAAGGACTTGAAACCTGGGAGGGCAGATGTCAGACAGTGACACCCTCATCATCACAAAAACAAGTCTCAATAATATGCATCATTTTCTGATGCTCATTTACCATCAAATCATAGAGATAATTAGTATTTGAATGTATAAGTTACTATTGCACAGAGACTTGTCAATTATTATCAACAGATTACAGATCTATTAACAGATTCTGCCATCACTAGTGATATTGATGATTTGTTGGTTTCCCCCTTCCTTAAAATAGTCTCCTGCCATATCTTTCTCATCTCTCACAATTGGACTATATTTCTACCCATGCAATCAGACTATATTCCTACCCATACAATCAAGAACTCACACAGATGAATCATACTGGCTAATAATGTAACCTTCCCAGAATTAGAGAAACAAGTCATGCAGTCTGGCTTCAAAAAAATAAAAATNTGGTCCACGGCACACAGACTGGGGAGCCCTGTCCTAACTACAATAGCCAAGCAAGGACATTAGGGAAACACACAAACCAGCAATGTCCATGGGGTGTGGTTGGGATGTGCCTGGTTTTTATGGGCTGACCTTCAATGTGGATGCCGTCATTGACTTCTTCTTATCACATCCTGTGGACGCTCCTGACACGAACACATCACGTTACCAAGTGGGTGGACCACCACCCCCTCTCCCAGTGTCCTGGTTATTAGCCTCTTGATGGACAAGTCAGGCGTCCTCCTTGTTTTTGCATAGAGGCTGAGATCTGTCAGCAGGAGTTGCCTTTCCTATTCAACTTCTCAGCGAGCGTTTTTGAGTACCGCGGCTTTTGGCAGCCGAAGGATGTTGTTTTTCTTGGCAATTTGCTCGGCTTCATCTCAGGCCCTGGAAAACCCTGGGAGTTTGCTTCCAATAATCAAAGACTAACGTAATGTTTGCTACAGAGAGGAGGGAAATGTCACCCCGTTGTGGGAGAATGCTCCGGAAAGATTGCAAGGTCCTATTCCAATACAACCTGGGCTTGTTTGTGCATCGTATATATTACCGCGTGCGTTTGTTAAAACCTAGGAACTTCTCCCCACCCCGGAGAGACAGAAGCTCCAGGAAAATATACAGTATAAACTCATTATCTTGACGCGATTGCAACTACGCACCAGAAACTGCTGCCTTCAGAGAAGAATTGACTGGTTCTGGGCCAGCTTTTCAGGTAGATGAGTCAGTCTTTGTCTAATTGGGGCTAAAGACTTACATGGGATTATACTTTCTGCACCCACTCCCACCACAACAAATTTATGAGTGAGTTGGGGAGAGAGGGAGAGAGGGAGGGAGGGACGGAGAGAGACGGGGGGGATTGGCCCTAAGTCAGGGGTGGGATTGAAAAATGTTAGCAACTGGTTCTCTGTCTGGTTGCTGGATGGACATGGCCTACGTGGCCTCCTGCACGTAGAGGGAGGCATTTTGGCCCTCCCCAGGCTCCGGAGGCTTTCCTTGAGACTCTGGGAGGATGAAAACCAGTGGTGGGTTGCAGGCGGTATGCCCCGCTACGGGCGTACCAGACCCTGCCCAGAGCACCGGGTACCATTCCGGTACGATGCTCCGAAGGGCCACCCGCCTGCCCAAGCTCCTTACCTGTCCTTTCATCCTTTGGCGCTTCTGCGCACATGCATGGCACATATGGTGCTTGCGGGATGCTCTGCCGAGCAGCTGTAGCGTCGCAGAGGCTTGCGGAAGCGTCGCAGGCAAGTACGACGCATACACGCACCGCACATGTGTGCCTCTGTGTCTGCGTGTGCCGCACACATCCATGTGGGTGACGCCAGGGCCGTTCCAACCGTACCAGTTGGAACAGAATCCGGAACTCACCACTGGTGAAAACGTCCTCCCCTGGGCTCCGGAGGCTCTCCGGAGGCCGGAAACAGACCCATTTTCAGACTTCTGGTACTTCCGGTAGGCCCATTTTTCACCCTCTCCAAGATCCGGAGGTTTTCCACGGGCCTCCAAGAGGGTGAAAATGTCCCCGGTCTCTGGAGGCCGTCCAGAGGCTGGAAACAGGCCCATTTCCAGACGTCCAGGAGGCCCATTTTT